TCACAAGAATAGATGCACCCAACGTCAAAGGCTATGTCAAAAGACAGTTGGAACAACTCCGATATTATTTTTGGTCCTATAGTAATAAAAAGTAAGATTAGCAGAGCACGATAGTTAACAAGGCGGGGTAGAAATCAAAAAGAAAGGATGGGACGAGCAGTCTTGCGAATGACACCGACGCGGGGCTTTCAATTTATAAGTGAGCAAGGAAAGGGGGTAATGAACAAAGAGCGAGAGAGTCAACGAATGGAAATTCAACGAACGAGGTCAGGTGCACAGGACAAGGGGGATTGATGGGGGACTTGACGCGAACAAGGTGCAATTGCTTTAAATTAATCTGCAGTAGTTAGTAGCAAATAATATTTTCACGCCGTCGCCATCTTTTGGAGGTGAGCGAGTACATCTAGCCGGATGTCTTGCTACATCAGGTTCCCTATCATTGTGCGTTTTTTGGTTTCTCTGTTGCCCTTTAGCTGATCATCCTACTTGTGGGTCCGAAGCCTTATCGCCATCTACGAGACATCCACCACTTGGCCCAAATGGTCGAACGTGTGCGCTCCATCTGCGGATCCGATGCGCAAACGCAGTCGTCACCCGTAGGCAAACATCTAATCTCTTCGACCTCGGACAGCCTCTCCGATCCTTCCCTCTTTACTCTGGCCAGGTCGGAGGAGTTACAAGTGACGGAGACGCTCATGCTTACTGAGAAAATGCAGCTCTCGTTCGAATCGGAGTGTTCTATCGTACGTTTTTCGGTTTATTATATGTTGTGGTTGGCTGCTTGCTCCTACCTTCGCAATGCAGTCGTGCAAAGAATAACCAATGCTTTCGGCTTGCATGGCTGGTGCCGAGTTCTGTCGCCATATCTAACGCTTCTTCGTTTCATTATGCAGGAAAAGCACACTGCGACTTCATGTGATTTGAAAATGACCCGTTTTCTATCCCCCTTCCCACTAACTGTTGAGAAGAAACTGATTTAAGAATACCTTTATCCTACCCCTCATTCTTACTATTTTCGGTAGCAACAACCGACCCCTTGTTTAAGGATCGGTGGGCTATGCCAACGCTGGTGAGAAACAGCCTTAGAGACTCTCTTATTGTAGGGAATAGCTCCCCGGGTGGTCTTTAGGTTGTTGTAGGTATAGGCCGTCAACCCAAGGCAACAATTCGTCGCCGTATCCCTACTTTGTTGTCAATAATTCCCGTATATTGGCTCCTTTTGAATGTGCAGTCGCCTGTCGCTTAGACACTCAGGAATTGAAGAAACGATATGCCGTCCTGCTTTGACACAATCACCGTGAATTCTAGTCCCCTGTAGGTATACAATTTGTCGTTTTCAGTCGTCAGCACATGCAACAAGACTTAAAGCCAAGGGCAAAACCCCTTTCACCTTTGTACCCCAGGGTTGGAGGCCGTTGTTGACGGCATCTTCACATCTTTACAACTTCGAGTGTTGGAAGCGTATATTCCTCTGCATTGTCGGTTTGTTTTCAATTTTCCACTCTCAGGCTGCATTACGACGTTTGTGCTTTTAGTTATTTGTGAAAACAATACTACTCACATTTTCAGAACCGTAGTTGGCGAGCGTACGTATGCTTTCAATAAATTCTCGTCGGGCCAGCACATTTATATGAGGACGGGGTACAGTTTAGAACGTGTTCGTCTTTTTGTACAAGTGAGTCGTGGGAATAGGCTCGAAGGGGTCGATAAGAGAAGGCTGGTTACGCAGAGAGTTTGTTGGAGCCAGTTTAGGGGAGGGGAGAGGGAGGCAAAGGGAGTGCAGACGACCGCATGCAACTGGTTCACTGTGGACCATGCCAGAAGCCATGTTTATATTATTTTAATGGTGGGCTTTTTAAAGATGTGCATATGCATATGACACTAGCATGTATGCAAAGGCATTGCCTATTTTGCATCCGCCTTTACTTATTCTGGCCCATGTGCGCTTTTGTCTGTTCCCGGCATTCATTGTCGATAAGGACTACTGTCCAATAGCTGTCAAACCTCTGTTTTTAAGAAAATTATCATTTTCTGTTGGTCAGCTATATGAATATACATTTCTTCCCTGCGCATTCCAACATTCCAGATCTGCTGCCTCCAAAGTTGCCTCAAAATCGCGGTCACGCACGGCTCTCTCTGGCAGAGGCTCTGTATGCGTTTTCCGGGTGAGCTTTTTTTTCGTTAATCCTTCGTCTGCTAAACTGCTTCTGTCGATGTCTGACCGCTGGTCGCTAAGCTTTGCGCCACCTGGCCCGGCTAATTCGGCGCGGTTCTAGCTGGTTCCCGTCGTTTATAATGTCTCTCCTCTCGAAGGCAATATATTGCCTTGATGTTGCTCGGATTTAAATACCAATATGTGAATGTAGACGCAACAGAGATTACCTTTTGCCGAACTGTCTTCCGTCCTCTCTCTCTCTCTCTCTTTCGTTGGCAGCCAAATAAGTGTTACCTGGTTGGATAGTGATCCTGATCCGTTATCGTTAAGTGTCCAGGACGTCAGTTTTTCGAGCAATTCCGAAATTTATACAAACATTTTTGTTACAGACAATCAACTTCTGCAGCTATTCCGCATTAACTAGCACTGCTTTTAAAATGATTTCGCATAACAAAGGTTTGAAAGAGAGGGAGAAAATATCCCTCACAATTTTGCCGTACTCCGAGCTTTGCTACTAACTAAAAGCTCCGACGTATGTTTCGCTGATGTTCTCGTGGTTGCACGACACAACTGCCAGGTTTCCGACCCCTTATTGCATTCCCTAGCTTTTTATTCGGTTTCTGTTATCTGGACTCTAGGTAACTATTATGGAACTAACTATGGACGTTATTTACGACAGTAGTTGCAATTAGTTATGTTTCGAAATTGTACTGAACATTAGAGTTAAAGATAATTGACCTCTGTAATGTAACCGCGCATTGTCCGTTTTAGCTAGGACCTATTTTGAGGGTACGGTATAAATATAGATAATTTTTTTCCCAGGTACAAATTTGAAGCAAGCGACAACGACAAAATTTATTTGTAAAAATACATTTCGAGAGATCTTATCAACCGTTTCCTCTATTTGCATGAATAACGAAGCAATTGGAGAACACATCATTTTGAATTTTCACAAAATCGATAATAATAATAATAAGGTAGTTTTAACGTGGCGCATAGTCAATAGTAATGTCAACTTTAAACTTGGGAAGATAAGTAGGGAGGGAATTAACAAGAATAAAAGTGTGATCTGCATTTATCAGGGCAATTGAGGATTAACCACTTGGTTTAATTGCTTACATAGGTTGGGTTTCTCCTGTCGTATGTAGGCTGCTTCCATCTTACGCAAGGTCCGGTTTGTTCTTGCTCGAACAAGAACTCTCAATGGAGCAAATATTCCTGGCTCTCTGGAGCAGTATAAGTGCCAGATTCCGTTTCCATTGTGTAGGCACGAAACTGATAAAATGTAGGTATTGGCCTTTGCTCCATTGAAACTCTACCAGCTAAGATTGCCTGCATAAAAGAGGCCCCGTACGTTTCATTCAAAAATACAGCAGCCCCTTACGGCCGAAATTTACGGACTAGTCGGTTCCGAAAAAGCCCATTTTTATATCTTTTCTCTTCAAGGGAGGCAATATTTCAAATACAATTAAGCGAAGACTATGTTGTTCCATACAGAGAACGTACTATGCAGCCAAACTTGTGTTCCTCACTCCAACTAAAAGCCTTCCAGTTAACTGGTCGAAGGAAGCCTTGCCTTTGCACGCCACCCCAACCTGCGTATATGAATTCACCTGCACTTGCGGATTCAAGTACATTGGCCGTACGCAAAAGCAATTGGCGACCAGGGCTACTGAAAATTCGCCTGCTTGGCTTATAAAACAAGAAAACAAAGTGCCATAGTTTTCCATCACAAAAAAAAACTTGCTAGACAGTGGTCACTCCATTGATATCAACACATCTTTCCGCGTTCTTGTTCGAGCACGAACAAACTGAATCTTGCGTACCATGGAAGCAGCCTACATACGGCAGGAGAAACCCAACTTATGTAAGCAATTAGACCATGTGGTTAATCTTCAATTGACCTGGTAAATGCAGGCCACACTTTTATTCTTGTTAATTCCCCTCCCTATTTATCTTCCCAGGTTTAAAGTTAACATTACTATTGACCATGCGCCACGTTAAAATGACCTTGTTATTATCGATTCTGCGAAAAAAGTACGATGTAAGCTTTCGAACAATATCGTCTGCACAGAGAATATGATGTCTTTTTTGAAAGACTACTAAACATGCGTGTGTCTGTCTGCCAACCCTACAGAAGTACAGCACTCAAACATACAAGATATTCCCGGCAATTCTAGCAAATTCCTTAAAGCAGGATGAGTCTACAACAGGATTGGAATGGCCATTTCAGACTTTTTAGCCATCCGTATCTTCTCGCACTCAACCCCAGGCGTTACAACTCATGAGACTCGAATCTGCGAGTTGTTGATTTGAAGTCCAGCACCCTAATCCTTGCGCCACGATCGCATTGACTCGTCGGTTGCGATCGGATGTGTTAACACACGTGTGCCTTTGTAGATTACGTGATTGCGCTTTAAGGCCTGGTGACATTTAGAAAATAATTTTTTTTCTATCCTATTAATCACGTCTTGTAACTCCCGTGCCATTCATATATCACTATTTTCGTGTTGTTATAGAAAACCTACTCTTCATGCTGAATACCAGTCTGTATACCCGTCGTCCAATCAGTAAAAGCCTCCTCTCACTGGTCTGTATCGCGGTTTCCCCGACGCCTTCAGATAAACGCAGCCAGGAAGTCGCCGCCGTCAAGGTAAGCATTTTTTTCTTTTCCGGTTTGACGTCGGGTAGAAAGTATCAATGCCTGGAAAAGTTACATGACACACCATACGGGGATGCACAGGTACCAGTTGCCAGGGTAGGGATTCCTTGTGGGGCCGCCTGGGGAACGTGTGAAGCACGCCCCTCAGGCTCACGGGAATCTGATTTTAGGGGA